TATTGCATTTTTTTCACCACTATAGAAAAGTCATATATACATATGTACAGGGTGGACAAGGTTAAACGTGATAAATTTTGACAGACGATAGAACGATGCAGAAGCAGTACAATTCCATGTAAACACTTTGGTTGAAATCACCCCCCAACAAGGACAAACAGAGTTTCAAAGTTTTGTGCAAAAATTGGATTTCACATAATAGCTTCCAAACCACTCGACCGATATCGTTCGAATTTCGCACACCGACCAATGTATCACATCTCTGAGTAATGATCGAAATAATTTGAAGAAATCCTCCAGTGGCGTAGATAATGGGGGGCATCTCCTTTTCCCTCTTCTAATCTTTATCAGTGTCCTTAGATATCAGGAGAAAAGTATTCGATTTTTGAATGCCTCTTTCAATTCAGAAGAAATTTTTCGATTTATAGCTTCGTTGTGGAGATACTAATTTGAATTTGAAAAGTGGCAAGGATGCTACAACTTTGTTAGGGAGCATTTTCAACGAAAATCTTTCCATGAGAGTGTGCACCCTTTATACTGATATCTGGAATATACCCATTGCATTTCTACGGAATTTTCGGTTTTTCAATAATGTAATAGGAACCTCTCCTGATAATCTGTCTTTGGAAGCCATTATTTCTCTTGTTATGTCAAATTCTCCAGAATTTTCAAAATATTCCTCATTATTATAATGAGGGGGGCGAAAGAGATGAGAATCACCTGTAGATAAATAGATAGATAGATATACTTTATTAATAGCATGCGAAAAGCTCCATATTTTCAGTAACAAATATGACTGCTTCATAGTTTAATATACTAATCAAACTGAAAGAATTGTCCTATCCACGGAAATATACATACGATCAGCTCCTTCTGAAACATTGGGAATGTTTCATAAGCAACGTTTCTGTAGTATGAATATCCTCTTAACATTTTTTTTATGTTCTGGTTCCCACGAAAAGTGATATCCTGTTATGTTCAGAGAACATCGTGAAATCGAAGGAAAGTAAGGTAGGAATTGATGTTCTTCTTGAATTTCTGGAGGTTATATGACACGAGAACACCTCTCCTGGCAATGTGTTCCAGAGCCTCGCTGTTCGTGGGATGAACGAGTCTTTGGAGAGAGATGTTCTGCAGTTTTCCATCCGTAGATGTTCCCCAGAAAATAATACTATATCTAATACGACTATGTACGTAGGCCTTCTATGCCAGCAAAGCAGCATCTGTAGATATATTTTGTGAGATGACTTTCAAAGCATAGCAGTATCTCGATATTTTTTCAGAAAGTTCCCTAATATGGCTGTTCTAGCTTCGAATCATGCGTGATATCTAGAAACGAAAGTTTAGATACGGGATTCAAGGAAGTTGTGCCATGGCTGGAGCTGTCCCCATTACTCATTACTTCTTTGTGCGAAGGAAATTATTTGGGTATCATTAGTATTCAGCTTCAGATTTTGCACTGTAAAATATGCCTCCAGCGTACTCAAAGTCCTAGTGATATTGCATCGTATTGATTGTCGATCATCAGACCTGAATACAATCAAGCAGTCATCAGCATATTGAACCATATAATCAACAACTCCAGGAATATTATTGGTATAAAGTATATACAACAGAGGGCCCAGCACTGATCCTTGCGGTACAACTCAATTCTGTCACACATTGATATCTGTTCTTGAGATAAGAAGTGAGTAGATTGAGTGCTAACCCTCTGATACCATAAAGAGACTATTTTTCAGCTAATAAGAGGAGGTCTACACTATCGAATGCCTTTTACAGATCCAGATTGACAGCGAGATCCGAAAACCTTTCATAATGCCTGATAAGTAGTTCATATTGTTGATTCATTCTTCCCGAAACTATGTTGTCGATCACTTATGAAAGGTTGTTGGATTCCAACAAGTATGGACTAACACAATATATAGGGTTGTCCAAAAAAAACCGGAATTTTGTTTATGTCTGATAACTTTTTCATTTATTGGCCGATTTGATTGATTTGGGTCTTGTTCGAGAGAGAATTGATCAAGGCAGTCCGCTGATAGCGAATTTTTCATATTCGTTCAAAAAACAAAATGGCGGAGTCACCTAAACTTGGTAGAATTTGAAAACTTGCTGGAACTTTTTTAAGTCGCACTGTATATCGTTTCTTGTAAGAATCTGGAAGTTTGGACATTTCTGAATAGAACAAGATGTCGAACATGATAATCCGTCGAAAAATACCTGATATATGACAGGATATAGACATGTATGTTTTGGAACTTTTATACTCATTTTCATTCGTTATTTTCAAGATCCACCTCATTTATGATTTTCAAAGTCTTCAAAATCATGATAATTTTGAGTCAAGTGGTATAAAAAGCATAAATTACGATTCCTTCATGGAATTCAACTCAATACAATCATTCTCAAACAAAAGGAAAAACGATATTGAACAAGAAACAAGAGTAAGCGAGAAAATTATGTTCTAATGTGGTCCCCATCAGCTTCAACCACTAATTCCACACGTCGTCGCCAACTGTCAATTGATTTCCTAATATTAACTTGGCTGGTTTCCTCCCAACACTGAAGAATTCTCTCTTGTAGTTGTTCAACATTTTCAAATATTGTTCCATTTTTGTGAACTCTAGCCTCCAAATCACCCCACAGAAAATAGTCACAAGGATTCAAATCTGGACTATTTGGAGGCCATTCTTGTGGTTCTAAAAAATTGGCAACGTTCTCTCTTAAGTAATTAATGGTGTGTGCACTGGTGTGACATCTCGCGCCATCCTAAAATCAAATTTTTAATGGAAATAGTCAAAAAATAATAAATGATATAAGAAAAACTCTAGGAAAATGATGAGAAGATACAAACATACCTGCATGAAAATAAAGTCAGGAGTTGAATCTTCTATTTCTGGAAGCATTTGTGCTAAAACTGTGTCACAATAACTCTGTGAATTTAGCCTGACCCCTTGCCTAATGAAAATCAAATTTGCTTTATGTTCTCTAGAAATTCCTGCAGAAACCATGACGTACTTAGTGAATTTATCTCTTTCACTCAGAAGACGTTCCAACGGCGTTTCCCGTTTTCGTTGGTGGTGAGGTAAACAAAATCTATCATTTTGCGAGTTTTTCAAGGGGTTGATTGTAAATATTTTTTCGTCGGTGAACCAAATTTTTTGAATATCTCTCCTAGATCTGAATTTATTCAAAAGATTTCTACATCTCAACAATCTTCTGGCTTTGATTTCAGGAGTGAGTTTGAATGAATACATTCGCTTAAAAAAATTAAGCCCCAAATCAATCTTTATTATCCTGTTCACAGAGCTACGCGAAATTCCAGATCTTCTGGAAATTTGCGGAACGCTAAAGCTGGTCCTAGGCGCCCTTTCGGGACTCACAGCCAAATTCAAGACTTGGGCAATATTTTCCTGAAATGAGTTTTGGTAGATCATAAGACATACAATGATAGCACCTAGCTTACCAACCTGTGTTCTGACACTCCTTGGCCGCCCACTTCCTTCGCGTCTTGCAATGGAGTGTGTTAAGTTAAATTTCTTTACGAAATCGTAAATTGTACTTTTTTTATACCGCTCGACAGCAAAATGTTGTAAAATATCACTCACTCTGTATCCTCTCAAAATTAAAGTTTTGAAAAAATTTTATCGTCATTGGAAAGCGCCATTATATACACTTTAGAAAGCAAAAATGAAGTGATTTCTATGTCAAAAAGTCAATTCAAGAGCTGTCAATAATTACAAATAACAAGAATCAACAACACAAAAAGCGATGATTGACATACGCCGCCTCGATTTCAATGAAAAATTGGTAACAAAATGTGAAAACATACATGTCTATATCCTGTCATATATCAGGTATTTTTCGACGGATTATCATGTTCGACATCTTGTTCTATTCAGAAATGTCCAAACTTCCAGATTCTCACACGGAACGATATACAGTGCAACTTAAAAAAGTTCCAGCAAGTTTTCAAATTGTACCAAGTTTAGGTGACTCCGCCATTTTGTTTTTTGAACGAATATGAAAAATTTGCTATCAACGGACTGCCTTGATCAATTCTCTTTCGAACAAGACCAAAATCAATAAAATTGGCCAATAAATGAAAAAGTTGTCAGACAAAAACAAAATTCCGGTTTTTTTTGGATAACCCTATATAACTATCCGAGTTTCAATATTCGAGATATTCAAGAATTTAGGAAATTATGAAATGATACACCTTCGAAGTATTCTTGAATTTGGTTCAATATAATGTTTTGTAAAATTGGAATCGAATTTCTCTTGTGTCAACTATTTCATCAAACCAATATCTTCGTCATTTTGAATTGAGCAAAATGATGTTTATTCGAGAAAAGTTGATATTTGTTTATGAACATCTATTGTATCTAGTTTTTCTCTGAGATGCATCCAGGACTCTCATTGAAACTCCCTGAGAATTTATCAGTCATGAACCAGACTGATTCCTGCTATTATCAAAACTCATATACAAGGTGAATCTGAAAGTGAGGTTGATTTTTAACAGGATATATAACTCACCAAAATGAGTGTTTGGCAAGAAAATGCTCAGGTAAAATATTTAAGATAAAGAAGGTAGGTACAACTATGGACATTTTGTTCACATTTTCTCAGAAAAAAAAACGCAAGAAAGCCGTTTTTAGTTCAGCATTAGATACACTACAGTTGCATTATTTTATCAGATACACTTATCAAGATCTCCTTTTCATCTTTTCAACCTATCAACTAACGTTTTGAAGTAAACAAAAAAAGGAAATGAAGCATTAGGCCAAACAACTTATTTTGGCATATATACCCTGTTAAATAAAAAACCTCACTCCAGATTCACCCTGTATAGGGTGATCATAGCAATATGATTCATAGACACAATATCATTCTACAATAGAATTATTTCATGAAATATGTTGAGAAATCACCCCTGAGAGTCAAATTCACTCAAAATATACCCTGAATTAAAAAAAATTTAATCTGATGACTAGTCTTACTTTCTTTTCGTGTACCACAGCAAAACATGACAATTCCGAAGTTATCCACATGTCATGACAATCTTCCGAAAAATCAACACACCTGGTTAATTGCACTGCGTAGCATATACTGAAATACAACTCAGCTGTAATTAAAACGAAAATAAATCTTGATAAAGATAACGAACTGATAAGGTGCCAACAGGAGCATAATAATTGATTCTGATATTTATTGGGGTACTAGCTGACCCGGCGAACGTTGTTTTGCCATAAATTTTATTTCTAGAAATAATTTTTTGTTAAATATTTATCAACACATTTACTGCAGGTCGATTTATGCACACCGCTTTTTCATTCATCTGTTGCTTTCATTAACTGTCATTGAAGTTTATTTTTATTTAACCCTTTGAGTACTAGTGAGCGCGTCATGGAGACACAATACTAATAATGTTTACTCAGTCGCCTACACTGAGGGAAAAAATTTGTAGCCGTTACTAAAAAATTAGTAACTACAGTACGATAGGGGACAGCAAGCATTAGTTGTTAACATAACTAATTCTGTTTTTCTGGAAACGCCTATTTGCCTCAAATGAAAAGTTTAGTTGAGTCATCTACGACGTTGTTGTGGTAACTAATAAGCCTTTGTAAGGAATAATACCAAGTTTTATTTGCCACAATCAAGATACATAGTTATGACAATTAGATAGTTAGTACTGTGGTAAACTGCGAATTATTATTTTGCCAACCAAATGCCAAATGGCTCAGCGCGAAGTGCAAAAAAACACAAAACAGTGATTTGAAAACACACAAAGCAGTGAACCAGCAAGAACACGACGCTACCGGCTAGGGTTTCATCGAGACGAGAAATCTCGTCTCGTTATTAAAAAATGCTATGTATAGGTTATAAGGCTGCACCAAAATACAGGGTATTGAATTTTCTCTATACCAAAAATTACGTCAAGATACAGAGGCTATATGCTATGAACTAAAAGCCACATATAAAAAAAAACCGCCGAGTATCGGCACAAAAATAAAGAATATTGTTCCAAAAAATGAAAATTTAACGAATCCTTGATGTTTCAATTTACCTAATCTTTTATCCATACTTTTAAATTTACCTAGGTACGAAAGGTGAAAGTTTGAAATTGTTTCTTCGTTCGTGAAGAATGTAACAGCAACAGCAACAAACTCATTTTTCATAATCGAAACAGTCATCTCTCGAAAAAAAAATTATTGAGCAAATTATTTTATCTCAATAGTAGGGGTCGAAGTACTGCATAGTGAAATTTATGCAAAAATGGTGCCATAAGAATATCCTTCGAAGTGATATAGTAATAAGCTTGGACTAACATTTTTAAAGAATACAATAGAAATAAAGTTGAATTGATGGCCCTTTCCGTTCATGGCATTTCTTCACCCTGAAAGGCCAGACTGATAATAATAATAATTATCTTTTAATTATTGTAATAAAGAAATATAAAATAGCATTGTACAAAACTTTAAAATTTTTGTTTGAATCTTATGAAAATATAATGATAATCTTTGATCTCATTCTCATTTCTCCCTTGTGTTTCGACCTGGCAACACTGAACGGGCACTGTGAGTAGCGGGATGCAGGAGGGTTGTTTGTTGTTTGTTTACTAATCTTTGGAATTATGGAGATGAATCAGTCAGTGCGTCAGTACAGTCCGTGCCGTGTTAGGGCAATGCGTTTTCATGTTATTTATGAAAGAAACGAAGCCGTATACGGCTTCGTTTCTTCTATTATAATAGAACTAACTAATTGAATAGATAGGTATATTGCAAGTTAAGGTCTGCAGTTCGAGATCGAGAAATCTCGAAATAATTTCTCGATCTCGAAAAATCTCGAAGTGCTTTTCTCGATCTCGTCTCGAAAAAAAAAAGTTAGTCTCGTCTCGATCTCGTCTCGAAATCGAGACGAGACGAGACGAGAAATCTCGAATTTCGAGAGTCTCGTGAAACCCTAGAGTACACTATACAATTATAGAGTATCCTACGAAAGCGTCTAGGGGTCACACAATTAAAATATTTTTTTTCAATATTTTGTAAAAAAAATCTAATATATTGAAAAAAAATCCAATATATTGACAATCTTATTGGTCCAGTTGATGTCTCATGATTATCGTGTGAATAAATCAAAAATATTTCATTCAAATCAGCTTGAGTATTTTGAAGATATTGTCATGTAGTAAATCCTGAACAAATTGTCATCTATCTGAATTCGAACATAATTATTCTTCATTATTCCAGATTTTTTCGTGATTTCCTCTCTTCGTCTCTATAAAATGAAAATATGAATGATATTCCAATAAACGTGTAGTTAGGACAAATCGGATGATTTGCCCCAATGTATTTCATGACACTCTCACCTAGACAGGAACTGAAGTTTCATATTAGAACTAATATTTCCATAACCTGATCGGAAAATACATTGATTCCAAAACAAATGAGATATTGAAATTGATATACAACCAGTCTCGTTTTGGTCTTGATGTATCATTATTCAATTGAAATATCGAACAGATATAAACTGCATATAATTGGTACTTCGTATTTCTCAGCCTTTGAAATTGTCAATTTGGCGTATAAAGTGAGCGATTTGAATCTCTCCTTTCACCATAAGAATATAATTTTTGAGAAACCTCGAATAAACATTAAATGAGACCCAAACAGGCCGACGCTCGACAGACCAGAAAGAAGGTTCGAAAGGTTCGATACTGACAACAACAATTCAAATTCAAACCAAATAACTTTTGTATATTTGTTTCTATCTTCAATAGGAGGAGGTATGGACCACTGTGACCTTACAACATACACCTATTTGTTGTAAATTTTAAAACTGCAATAATGAATTTGAAGAATGTATTTCGGATTCTGAGTGAACAAAAATTAAAAACCTACCATATGACCAATGACTAACTGGAATAAAATGCCATTGCATTTTCCATCAGATTTTCCTATTTATTGAGTAGATTCAAGTTCCTTCTCTTTTCTTTCGAGATTAAGACCAAAAGACTCTTGGGAGAGAGTCTTGGTCTTGATATAGTTATTTAACCAACTAGTGTATTAATGAGGGCGAAGCGAGCGCGTTAATGTTCGAGATCATTAATCGCCTTTTAATATACGAGTTGGTTACAAAATTTTTCCGTCGACTACATTTCTCATTACTCCTGCAATAAAGAAAACTTGGTTCGCGAATTCATCATTCATCCGGAAATTACTAAGAATCACCCAGTAGCCTAGTTACTGACATTAGTGACATTTGACATTTGTCGAAATGATCAACATAGACAATAAATTCCTTGTGTTAGAAAACAGGGATTAAAATCGTTTCAGAAACTTGGAAAGGCGAACCCGTTAACGGAAAATCTCCGATGAAATCCATATTTTCGATTGAAATGCAGATTCCGTAAGTTTATGCTATAAACAATGAATGCACGCGGTGTATGTTTGGTTGCCTATAAAACAATCGTGCATTAATAGACAAATTGATCATTATTAGGGGTCATTAATGAACGATTTCATATACATTAAACTTAGTCGTTAATACGAGGTCGACTGAAAAGATTAATTAAGTCTTGGTCTTGGTCTCGCGAAGTTCTACAGCAGCATTCCTAAATCAGTAGAAATTAAAGAAAAAGAAGCTGAACAGATATTAAAAATCTGGGACAAACTTCAATATCTCAGACAGGCTAAGATACTACTGGGTATCGATTACCACTGAAGATCTATCGCATATGGTTCCCACGGAAAGTGATATCCTGTAATGTTCAGAGAACATCGTGAAAACCAAGGGAAATAAGGTAGGAATTGGTGTTCTTCTTGAATTCCTGGAGGTTATATGGCTCGGGGAACACCTCCCTTGGCAATGTGTTCCAGAGCCTCGCTGTTCGTTGGATGAACGAGTCTTTGGAAAAAGATGTTCTGTAAGTCTCCAAAGTGACCACGAAGGGGTGCGAATAAGCCTCAACTCGACGGATTAATCTCGCGGAGACTGCCAAGGGAGGAACAATCATTGATATTCCAGAAGAGCATCCTCCATAAAAATATCTATGAAATAGAGCCAGATCGCCAACTTTTCTACGGTGTTCCAAAGAAGTCAGTGAGTTTGTGAGCGAAGCATCACCCACGAGACGAATTGCCCTTTTTTGGACAGAATCCAACAGTTTCAGGGTATGTTTGGGTGATGCACTCCAAGTATGGGAACAGTATTCTAGGACAGGTCGGATCTGTGCCTTATAGATCATAAGCAGCTGACTGGAAGTGAAATAGCTCCTGGCCCGAAACAGAAAACCAAGTTTTTGGGATGCACTTCTAGCAATTGATCTCACGTGATTTTCCCAAGAAAGGTTATTGCTGATAGTAATCCTTATAGCATCTAAATGGATGTCATCAAAGATATGGTTACTCCTGACAAGCTTATGTTGGGCACCATGAGATCGGCTTTTCTATAATATAGAGAAAAGGCATGCTTGTCTTTCCTTGTATACGGAAATGTCCGAAGGCAATCATACATAGAAGTTAGTCATAATTTTTGTCGGTTACTCAATCAAAAAGATACATATAATGATGATGATGATGGATGTTATTGCTATTAGGGCTTACACCTGGTCCAGATGAATTCATCGATACATCGATTCAATGAAATACACGAATGGTTCATTCTGTGATTGTATTCATATTATAACTACAATTCGAACATCCTTGAGAATTGAATAAACCTGATCTGTGATCTGTAAATGCAGGTAGAATTGTAACAAATTGTAACAAAGTGAAGTCATTGTCCTCGTTCACTAATATTTTGATGTGAAGTAGTCTGAGGTCTCGGTCCTATCTACTTACCTATATCATTATAATGAAGGTATCATAATGATATGTCAAGTAATTCACATCGGTTGTTACTTCTTAGTTCATTTTTTAGGTTGCAGAGAGGAGAGAATGTTTCATTAGGATCAAAAGTGACTTTGTTTGACTCGCAAATTTTGCTTTCGCTCAGCTTTGCTAGACGCTTCGCCTCACAGATGCAAAATTCGCTTGTCAAACCAAGTGCCACTTTTGATCATAATGAAACAATTTTCTATTTATCTCTTGGAGCGCTCGAAAAGAAATTCCCATTATGTTCGTGAAACATCGTGCGTACCTAGAGTATATAGAGAGAGGAGGTAGGTGTCGAAACTTCTTAAACTACCTTACTTGAAAACATCTCATATCCTGAATTTTTTGTATGAATTTGAAACTATAGCAAATGAGAACAACCTCATCGGATATAGCAAAAGAATGAGGAGGCAAAATAGATCATTTAGATCGCAGTGTATTCAGGGAAAGAATATAATTATCATTGCGAATTGAGAATTATTTATTTGAGTGTGTTGTTGTGGAGTCACACTACGAGGTTAGCAAGAATATGTATCAAATATTATATTCAATAATCCATTCCAGTTGCATATTTGAGGAACTTTATTAATATTCATCAAATACTGTTGTTACGAAAGATAACATGATGTTATATAATGTTAGACATTACATTTCTGCTGAGTTCTCTGTTTCAATTGAACGATATCACTATTGCTGATCAACACGGAATTCCATATGTGAAACATTGTGTTGTCATATGAATTTATTGATTGAAAAATTATATTCTTCATTTTCATTGGTCAAACTTGATGTCATGCAAGCGTCGTTTTTTGTGACGAGGCGTCGCGTATAAGACTTGTAACACTGAACTATCTATATTTTTCCACATCTGTACACAATTATTTGCTGTATCTGTATTCATCGTCATCATCATCAACTGATCTATAGTGGATAAAACCAGCTAACAGGACCCTGAGTATCATTTAGCTCACCCTATTCAATGAAATATGTCTATGAAAACACTCATCCTAATGAAGTTGGAAACGTTACTCGATATGTTCAACAAACATAATCCACATTATATAATTGCTGCTCCCCAGTATTCTATCAGACATCAAGAAATCTAACCAGTTATCAAAATGAGTGCACAAGAATCCATAAAATGTCTGAGATACATATCGAAAATATGCAGTATCCTTGGTATTCTCCCAACTCGTGCAAACACATGGATATATAAAGTGTACTCTCTGACAGTACTTTCCATCGTATTCATCAACGCCATCATAGCTTTGAAGGAAAGAACTTCACCGCTATTCACTACCTATAACGTCATAATCAAAGCTGTCGACCAAATAGCGAATGGTTTTTTGACGCTGGCCGTATCTTTTGCAACTATTTCGAACGTTTTCGTCTATCCAAGCAAATTGGAAGAGATTCTCGATTCGCTGCTCAAATTCGATGTCGATTTTGACAACCATTCGCAGGTGATGCGATCCATTTTCTGGTCTATTCTGATCGGTTTGAACGCAATCATCATGATGATGTTAGCCCTAGATTCCTGGTTTTGGACTGATGCTGTCAGTCTGACGATTTACAAGTACTATTTCGTGAGAAACGTGCAATACTATCAGCTGACTTTATTCATATTTCTGATATTCTGGATGGCCATGGAAGTATACTGCAGGTTCGTTATGTTGAATGAATTTTTGGAACCTGAACAGAATCAGAAGAGCCATTACATCGCCATTTATCCACGAATCTCAAAAGTAAGAAGATTACACAATCAGCTCTGTAAGGTGGTAAATGACCTGAATCAATTATTTGGAATGGTGATTGTGCTGTATGTGCTATTTCTCATGTCTCTCATTATTCAATATACCATCACTATGATATTATATGGGAGTCTTGGTGAGACCATTCTGAATTCAACTGTGCGTACTGGATTATTACAATCAACTTCTTGCTGCTGGATAATAGTGAACTTTGTAAGTATAATTATACATCGTTAAGGATCGGTTAAATATCGAAGACTCATCTACTATAGGTTTTTGAAATCATCTGAGTGACCCCTATCCACAGATGAAGTATTTACGTTTCCCAATGAACTACTATGTATATGTACAATTGTACAGTGTGGTCATTTAAGTGTGCAACGTATGAGAATCTTTTTGATGAATTGCACAACCAAAATACTGATAGTGCCAAACCATATTCTCAACAAGGTAGAACATCAATAATGATAATATGCGTGTACAAAAACTTCCATTCAATGTGCACATTTTGTATTTGAAATATTACAAATTGGAAAATTATTAACGAACAAAATTGAAAAACTAATAAATTTCTTAGGAGGCCATGTTTTGGTATTCAGGCATAACTTTCAATTGTAAACAACTTTTCCCAATAACATTTTGCTGAATTTTCTGAAATAAGGGTACTTTACTCTTGAGCAATTTTGATATTTTTTGACCTACCCTGTATGCTGTGTGACTTGCAACCATTCTAAGTGCACCTGAAATGATTACCGAACATGCACCAACTTTTGGCACTATCTGTATTTTGTTTGTGCAATTTATTAAAAAGATTCCCATATGTTGCACACTTAAATGACCACACTGTATAAAATCTTGAATGCCGCTATGATTTCTTATTATGATAGTTTGCCCTAAGTTTTTCAGCGACAAAACCGAAACTTCACATTGAGGTAAGCATGACAACCAACATTGTACAAACATTTTTTATGGTGTTGTATGTCATGTTTTCGGCGACCTTCAGATTTTTTATAGATACTTCCACGGGAAAAATTCTTCAGAACTCTTTGCTATCACTCCACGACTAGCAATACCAGCCAGACGAACTCGACAAGCGCAGTCAGCACATCCTTTCGTTGTCAACCTCGAAATATGTCGAACAGCACTATATCAAAACCCGTTTGTCTATAGAACGGGAAAGCTCTGGAACTTGGAATTGCCTGAGGAAGTTTTTCCAAGTACTTATAATCCCCAAAAATCAAAAGAAAATCTGGCACCTACATCCTCTTATGATCCACGCTAGGTACGCACGATGCTCTTCAAACATTGAAAGGATTCCCTTTCGTGCGCACCAAGCGATAAAAAAAACTTGCGTTGTCAGAAAAGTAACTATATTCTGTGGAAACTTCGCGATTTGGGAAGTCTTCGAGTGGAGCCATTGAAAAAGCAATCAACAACATCAACAACAGTGTGTATTGATGTAGGTATTCATTAAACATTCAGCACCCAAACATACCCAGAAACTGTTGGATTCTGTCCAAAAAAGGGCCATTCGTCTCGTGGGTGATGCCTCTCGCTCACAAACTCACTCACTTCTCTATGGAACTCCGTAGGAAAGTTGGCAATCTGGCTCTGTTTATTGGATATTTTCATGGACGATGCTCTTCTGAATTATCAACAATTGTACCTCCCTTGGCAGTCCCCGCGAGATTAACCCGTCGAGTTAAGGCTTCGCACCCCTTCGTGGTTACTTTGGAGACTTGCAGAACATTTCTTTCCAAAGACTCGTTCATCCAACGATCAGCGAGGCTCTGGAACACATTGCCAAGGAAAGTGTTTCCCGAGGCATATAACCTCCAGAAATTTAAGAAGAACACCAATTCCTACCTCATTTCCCATGGTTCTCACGATGTGAACCTCGCGGAATACCAGCATTTATGAAAAGAGAAGCAGATAAAACTTCGTCGACCACTACATGAAGGGACCTGTTTGAGAGAAAACTGGTTAGCAGAGAATATAGCTGGGGAGGCAATCCATAAGATGGAAGCTTGGCAAGGAGTCCGTGGTGCCAGACTCCATCGAATGCCTTGGAGATATCAAGTGCCACGGCAAAGGACTCACCATATTTTCCAATAGATTGCTGCCATATATGTGAAACTTAAACGAGCAGGTCACCAGTTCTCTGATGACGAAAGCCATATTGCCTATCGTCGATAATACCTGAATGTCCCAGGTATTCCATGATCTCGATGTTGATAGCTCCCTTCATGATCTTTGAAATAATAGATAGCAGTGCGATCGTCTGTAGTTGCTGGGTAGTATCTTTTCGCCTTCTTCAGGAACTGGTTGTACTCTTGCAATTTTCCAGTTGAACAAGAATATCCCCAATTCATAAGAGTAGTTGAACAACTTTCAGAAAACTGGTGTAAGTTCGGGAGCACATTTCTTGAGAACAATCGGCGGAATTCCGTCGGAGCCAAAAGCTTTGTTGGTGTTGAGATCTAATAGAATTTTCCTCAGAGTACGTTGGCGAAAGGTGATCTCGGGCATATGACTGTCAATTGGCGTTATGTTTGGAGGTTGTTTTCCCGATGAATCCAGAGTGAAACTTCCAGCGAATAAATGCGCAAAAATGTTGGCTATCTCCTGGGCAGTTGTGGCTAGTGTTCCATCGTCCTAGGTTTGAGAAGAAACGAGCAAGAAGTGAAGTTTCTTCCTACAGCTTCGGCGAAGGACCAAAATGAAGGAGATCCGTTAGGTACATTCAACAAGATCGGATTAATTTGGCATTATGAGCATCCTCTGATGATCGAATTTTCACATCGCATATGCCTTCAGCCCCGACATATTTTGCTCTAGTCTCAGGACCTGGATTTTTCTGCCATCGAAGGAATGCTGCCTGCTGATCTGCTGAGGAGGAACAAACTTTCTCCCATGGAAACGCTGAAAAAACATATGAAGACCTTTCCAGTCGGCGGAATTGTAATGCCTCATGAGACTGGTAGGAATTGTATCGCTGGATGGTACATGGAAAGAGCAGGTTGTGGAGATGTGGTCAGAGTTTCCAAGTGGGGCACAAATTTCTATTCTATATTGATCAGGATTGCTGGTGAGGAAAAGATCTACTGTATTGGCAGACTGGTTGATGACATCTGGAATGCGGGTTGGTAGTTCGACTAGTTGTTCTAGACCATGAGTGATGGCGGACCTGCATTATCTGATTTGTTGAAGAATTTGAGCCAGGCTGCGTTGTGTACATTGAAGTCTACCATGATTATGATTTCAGCTGTTGGATGGTTCTCCTGACTGAAGTCCAGTTTGAGTGATAAAAACATTTTTATATTCATATTCCAGTAATGAATACTCACTACGTTCTATCTGCATATATCAACTGAACAGATAGCACTGTATTGAATACAAAGCGTCTCATGATTATATTCATTTAAGAAAAATGTATATTGATATCTTGGAATAAGAACACTTTCCAAGAAATCCGGGTTTGTATACTTACTGAATTCTTTCTGAGTTTGCAATATTTGTTTTTACCGAATGAATACATATATAAATATATATGTATACTTTCGAAATGAATAACTTTCTACATTCGTGTTTGTTGTCCAATCAAATTGTTTTGAATCAATACGTTCAAGGGAATTCTATAATTATCTTTCCCAATTATTAATTCATTTTATTGTGTGTAATGATATATGCTGATGAAAACAATTATCAGAATGAAGTTACTCGATATGATTAACAAACATTGTCCCTATTAGATGATTGCTACCCTCCAGTGTTGTGTCAGACATCAACAAACCTCACCCGTTACAATGAGTGCACAAGAATCCATAAAATTTCTGAGATACATATCGAAAATATGCAGTATCCTTGCTATTTTCCCAACTTGTGCAAACACATGGAGATATAAAATGTACTCTTCGACAATTATATCATTCATATCCATCAACGCCATCATAGCATACAAGGAAAAGACTTCACCACTATTCACTTCCTATAACGTCGTAATCAGAGCTGCCGACCTAATAGCGAATGGTTTCTTAACGCTGGCCGTATCCTATGCAGCTATCTCGACCGTTTTCGTCTATCCAAGCAAAATGAAAGAGATTCTCGATTTGCTGCTCACATTCGACGTCAATATTGGCAACCATTTGCAGGTTATGCGATCCACATTCTGGTCCATCCTAATCTGTTTGAACGCAAGCATCATGCTGGTGTTAGCCTTGGATTGCTGGATGTGGATAGAAGCTGTCAGCCTGACGATGTACAAGTACTATTTCGTGAGAAACGTGCAATACTATCAGCTGACTTTATTCATATTCCTGATATTCTGGATGGCCATGGAGGTATATTGCAGGTTCTTCATGTTGAACAGGTTCCTGGAACGGTTGTCTCAGAGGAATCAGAAGAACCATTTGATCCTCCCTTATCCAGAAATTGCTGAAGTTAGAAGATTGCACAATCAGCTCTGTAAGGTGGTGAATAAGCTAAATCGAATCTTCGGAATGGTGATACTTCTGTATGTGCTATTTGTTATGGCTTATATTATTCAATATACCATAATCATGATATTATATGGGAGTCTTGGTGGGACTATTCAGAATACTACTCTGCGTACTGGATTATTACAATTAACTTCTTGCTGCTGGATAATAGTGAACTTTGTGAGTATATAAACGTTATTGTTAGAAATCAGTCGATGATTCAACGAAGACATGAAGACGAATATATCATTTCGAAATAAGGATATATTTTATGTGTATATAATTAATTATGTCGGTGAAACACTTATCAGAATGGAGTTGTTTCAACAAGTTGTATTTCCTAATATAATTCTGTATTTTCCCATGACTCATTTCAATATATTTTCATAAAATCGTTTTGTTTTCACGATGAGTAACCAAAATGCAATACGTTCGACCCTCGTAAGGTACTGATCTATTTCTCATTCTTCACATATATATGGGTCACTTCTGCGACTTCTCTCATCGTCCCAAGGACGAGTTTTTTTTGTCAGCGAGGAGAAAAAGAGATTTTTCGGACAAGAAAGCGAGAACGACGCGGTAGGCATGCATTAAGCCTTTACCGCCGCTTTCGATCGCATATACGCGTATTCAACAAATCAGAAAGACTTTATCCCGTTAACAACGCTGTTTTCTTTTGAAAAACCTATGGTGCATGTTTGTGAGTGTGAATGAACAACAGAACTTAGTTTAAGACGGCTACTCAGAATCCAGTTTTTTAACTACCCGGAGGGCCCTCCCGACCAGAGACGCTGAGCTCCATCAGCAGTCAGCATTCCAGAATAAGCCGGAAAATTCATCAAGCTACAATCCAAGTAAGTCGCATTCGTGACCTATCTGCCATATTATCGTGAAATCCTATTTCATTGTGTATTATCATTGGTTACCTATCGATGCCAAAAGTTTTATGAAAAATACAGTACATTTTGAAGCCATCCACATCTAGAGCTTTTGAAAAAGAAACATGGTCCTTCGAGCCGGATTTAAGGCCCTTTTGGCATTTTTTGAAATTTTTTCATTGTGAAAATTTTTAGGGGTCGAAATTGGAAATCTTCCAAAACTCGATAGCTTATCGATTTTCTTATTCAGCTGGTCACGTTAGACAGATTTGATTATTCGCTTCGTCAATTTCTTTAAAAAATAGTGATTTTATGTTCAAAATTCAGAATTGATAATTATACGCATTTTATCAAACTACTGATAGCCATTTTGTTTAACACATGGTCCCAGGTAAAGGCTACGAGAAGCCGGCATTCCTAATACGCATGATCAACTCGATCACCTGGTCTTTGAGCTCTCCGTTTTGGACTTCTATTCTTTCTTTTCGCATACATATCGCACTGTTGTCAAATCACCTCAATTATCTGGGAAAATAAATCAACCTAGTTTGAAGTCAAATTCACATTCCTGCTTATTCTCTTCAAAATCATGACCGAAAAACTTCGACGTTACCAAGCATTACGTCAAAGTGCACTCAATGACATTACTGTTCTCGATGCATTAGGTAAAGCGGCGCAAACTGATAGGACGAAGAAAACCTCGTTCAAAGTACGTTACACGGTGATAGAATCCATTCATGAAGAATTTCACAAATATCATTCTAATATCTTGACAATATTATCGGCCGATGAAAACATCGATTTGGATCAGGAAGATAAGCTTAAAGGAGCCTTCAATGATGCCTACTTCGATGCTAAATCCATTTATTCTGATCTTTTCGATTGGGACCAAGATCATTCTATTCTACCAGTGCCGCCCCAGAGTCAGCCATATCAGGTTCCGCGCATTCACATGTAAAATTGCCGCAAATAGAACTTTCAAAGTTTAATGGAGATTATCGCGCATTTCCCACCTTCAAGGACATGTTCGACGCGTTAGTACATTCCAATGATTCCCTCAGAAACATCGAGAAATTTAACTATTTAATTTCATCTCTGAGAGGTCCCCCTCTTACATTAGTTCAGTGTACGCCCATGACGGCAGATAATTATCAAACTGCTTATGACAGTCTGATAAAACGTTATAGTAATAAACGCGCGCAAGCAAATGCCTACTGGGCCGAAATTGAGAATCACCCGAAATTAACTTCGGAAAATCCTCAAGCTCTTCGAAAACTGCTGGACACGTTTTCGGAAAATCTTGCGGGAATGAGAACTCTCAATATACCCACCGATACTTGGGATTTCGTTCTTGTCAATATGCTACTTAAACGCGTGGATGCAGAAAGCGCAAAAGCATATGAAAAGGAACATGGTTCAACAAGTATTCCTGCATATCAAACTCTATTCAATTTTTTGGATCAGCATTGTACCGCTTTAGAATCAATCAGTCTCGCTTCGCTACCCCATCGATCAAAAAAGGTACATATACAATCCGCCCCACCGCTGCAGAAACCGAAATTCTCGCATAATTCATCATTCTATCAAAATACGCCAAGACAAACTAATTCTTCTTTCCTCACTCGGACTGATAAATCACCCCCGTCAAAATGTGTTTTATCATAGACTACAGAAGATAAACTATAAGACAGTTCACTCGTTCATTTTTCGACTTCTAAGAGATCTCGCCGCAACCTAGCCGACCGCTGGATTCTGCCGGCTAACGACTGCCGGGGCCTTTGAAATCGCAATCTAATTAGCTGTCAACCGACCGCAACCGTTTGGCGGTGCAATGATTTATAGAAAAGCAAAAAATGCAATGTTGGGCTGTACCGACAAACGGATTTCACTAAGTGAACTATCTTCTAGAATTCAGTAATCTTTGGTTTTATGTAACGGAGAGCATTTCTTATATCATTGTCCCGAGTATTTAAATAAATCGCAAAATGAAAAATATAATTTTTGTAAAAACCTCCGCCTCTGCATAAATTGCTTAAGTAATGTTCATGATACACGATCTTGTCGTTCAACTTCAAAATGTAGAAAATGTGGTAGGTCATCACATCATACTACTTTGCATATTGACAGAGATAATAGCGCTACCATGAATTTGAATCCATCGAATTCAGAATCTTTCTCCGAACCCGTAATTGAACCAAATGCATCAAATTCAACAAATTCTAGATCTGTTAACACTTGTACTGCATCTAGGAACAAAACTAGCCAGGTTTTATTATAGACGGCAATTGTTGAAATCCGAGATAGAAGAGGGATTTACCAAAAGTTCCGAGCCCTTCTAGACTCAGCGTCGGAGACTTCCTTAATTTCCCAGAAATGCTATAATCGTCTAAATTTGAATAAATTTCCAAGTCCGATAACAATCCAAGGTCTAGGGGAGTGTAAGAAAATTGGCAACACTGGAGGAGTCACACTGTACCTCAAACCAGTAAAAAAGGACAATCCCGTTTTTGTTATCGATGCTTTGATATTGCAAACGATATGTGATTGTTTACCGTCTACGCCTATTCCTATTCGCTCTTGGTCTCATTTAAACAATCTCGAATTAGCAGATCCAAATTATTTTCAACCGGGTGAGATCGACATTTTACTGGGAGCGGATATTTTCTCGCAACTTTTGTTGAGTGGCCGCGTCTTGGGTCAGTCCGGTGCCCCTGATGCACTACAAACTGTTTTCGGTTATGTTTTATTAGGCAAAATTGATACTTTCAATAACCCGCGTGTTAACACATTTTTTTGTAGCTCTTCCGAGTCAATACCGCTGGAGGACACAATTAGACGTTTTTTCGAGATTGAATCCGTCCCAGAAAAACCGCATTTGAGTTCCGATGATGAAATATGTGAAAAAATATTTACTGAAAATGTTTATCGCGATTCATCGGGGCGATTTGTAGTACCATTGCCTTTTCGCGAACACGCTCCTCAATTTCCCGGTAACAGATCTTTAGCTGTTCAACGATTTATTTCTCTGGAAAGGAGACTTCTGAAAAACCCCGCGCTTTATAATGAATATTGTAAAATTATTCAAGAGTATCTAGATCTGGAACAAATGGAGGTCGTATCCGATTCGGATATCCCTCTTTCAAATTTTTATCTACCACATCACGGTGTGGTACGCCCCGACAGTAAAAGTACCAAGCTTCGTATAGTTTTCAACGCATCTTCGCATATGCCTAATCAAGCATCGCTTAATCAATGTCTACATGTAGGTCAAAAACTCCAGACAGATATTTCCACCATACTGTTGAATTTTCGATTGCATAAAATTTGTTTTACAGCCGATATACGGCAAATGTACCGACAAATTTGGGTAGCACCACAGTATCGTGATTATCAAAGACTGGTTTTTAGATTCTCACCTAAAGATAAAATTTCCGATTTTCGACTCAAATGTGTCACATTTGGATTCAATTGCGCTCCTTATCTCGCTTTACGTTCCCTTCATGAATTAGCTAATCAAGAAGGAAATTTATTTCCGGAAGCTGCTTCGGTTTTAAAAACAGATACTTATATCGATGATGTATGTACTGGGACTTCTTCTTTGGTGCAGGCTAAACATTTGCGAGATTCATTAATTTCTCTTTTGAAGAACGGGGGATTTGAATTACGCAAATGGACATCAAATGATCCCGCTCTATTGGAAATATTTCCACCTGAACATATTTCACTTGATCCTTTATATTTTGAAAATGAACCTAACTCTACTTTGAAAGTCTTGGGCCTTCAATGGGACCCTGTACGTGATTGGTTTTGTTTCACTGTTTGCCCTCTCGATCGACAATGCACAAAAAGAAATTTGATATCTGAGCTGGCAAGGGTGTTCGATCCCTTAGGGATGCTTACCCCGACGACATTTAGCCTGAAGCATTTGATACAAAAACTCTGGTATCTCGGTCTGAATTGGGATGAAACCCCTAGTGAGGATATAATACGCATATGGTCAAAATATAAATCGGAAGTACACCTGCTATCAGATATTCGCATTCCGCGCAGGATCGTTTTTGATGATTTCGAATCAGTCGAAATCCATGGCTTTTCGGACGCCTCTGAG